TTTCAAAAATATTCGTGACCGAGATTACGTAAGAAAAGTGTGACGATCAACAAGTTGCTCGAATAGAAGAAAACTTGTAGCTTCGATAATAGGTACGTCGAATAACTGTTTGCCAAAATACTTCCCGAATGGGAATAATCTGTTTCGTTCGAGTTGTTAGTAAAACAAACCGACCCTTCCGAGTTAATTTGAGAACGTCAATGACTCGCACGGAATCTCGTTCGCTTTCGTCTCTTCGATGTTTTTCCTATTATCGCACATTATAAATATTTTTCTAGGAATTTAGCAGGAAATAATATTGAATCAGATTGAAGAAGATTGAGAAATAAAATTGCATTATAAATTGCAATGAATATTTTGAAATTATTAGAATATTTCAATTTGCAAAAATAGATATATGAAATTGTAACGTAATATTAACGTGTATATAATGTAATATTTTTTTTACAATCGTTTTTGAAAAATCTTTGCAAAATGATGATACAGTGAATATTAGAATATTCGAATATTAGAAACAAATTGGGCAAAATTTTTTTTCCGATTTTGAGCTTAATTTTTGAAGGATAAATAGAAAACATATTGTTTTTATAATTTATTATTTTGTTAAAAATGTATATAACATAAAAATATGACTAAATATATGTATATTTTTTTATTGGAATCTATTTTATTGTAAAAAAAAAAAATACATGTAATATGATTTACATGTAATACATGTAATACAAATATGATTATCCTTAAGTAAATCTTAGATCACATCTTTGAAAGAAAAAAAATTTAATTAGTATAGAATAAAAAATACATAATGAATATAATATAAAAATTATACAAATATAAATTAAAATAAAAAGAATAAAACAAAATTGCAGTTTTTTAAATATGTACTATAAGATGAAAAATATACAATTTTTTATTCTACTCGTTAGTTTTATTTTACTAACGATATAATTTGAATCTGAATTCAATGATTTCTCATCATTTTCATATTAATTTGTTTTTTCTTTGTCTATATTTTTTTCTAATAAATTTTCTAATAATTTCTTGATTTAAACTTAATTTTATATATTTATTTAATATATTTATTTTATATATTTTATTATTTATGATAAAACTTAATTTTTTATATTTTTATATTTTTTATAAAAAATTAAAGATTTTTAGAGATTACTCTAAACTTCTAAATCAATTAAATTTCCTGTGTTCTGCAAAGGCTATGTTATATACAATGTTATATACAATGATTAATCTAAATAATTATTGATATTTTTTTTTTTGAGAGTTGTTGAAATTCTATTTTTTTTTTTTTTTTTTTTTTACTATCCAACGTCAACCAGGATTGTATACGTGGAGGAAGAAGAATGAAGGTGACACACGGATTGGATAATTCGTATTCAAAATTGATAAAGAAACGTGATCTATTTTATTGGAAAAAAAAAAAAAATACATGTAAAATATGACTATCCTTAAGTCATTAATTACTTTCAGATCACACCTTTGAGTAACTGCGCAGAATAAATTAAGAATTGGAAGTGGTATTTCCAAGAAAATCTATTTCTAAACATATATTGAAAATAAAAATGCTAAATATTAAAAGAAAAAAATTATTTGTTTATATATCCTTGACAATCCTATCCTATAAATTATCCGATAAACATGGGAATCTTCCATTAACATATCTTAATTATAAAATAATTATATTTATAAAGATTTTTTTTATCTTATTATTGCTGTTTTATTGCATTTAATTTAATGAATTAAATTGCGAACGATATATATCTTATTATTATTATTCTTTTATTGTTTGTTATTCTTTTCTATATTTTGCCCAGAATATTTTACATATATGAAATCGTGAATAAATTTTATCATATAAATAGGTGGATAGATATTATATATCGATCACGATATATATATAATATAAAAATTATAATGCCAACTTTGTTCCCTAATCTTGACAAATTAATCCCCTCGAAAAATAATAGATCGCGATTTGAAATCGTGATCCGACAAGTGGTGGGATAAATGCCGCGGAAGGGATGGGGGTGGATGGTTCTTAAAGAAAGTGATTGAAAGAAAGAGGAGAGTAAAGTGGCCGAACCCCTCTGTGGAAAGGGAGGGCAGCGAGGAATTCTTTTCTTTCCTTTTTTACCGCTTTTACTAACTTTTCCTCGTTCCAGCTTCTGCTCCTGCACCTTCGACCTGCTCCCCTTCCTTCGATCTTCTACCCTTATTCATTCTCTTCGTCGAAGAGCCAAGAAACGAATGTACTTTTCCTCGATACACTGTGCCGTCGTCATGACTACCACCATCTTGGATAATCTTCCACCTCTGGAGGACATGTCCTCCGTTATATCAGGCCATTTTATTTCTCATTTCGACGAGAAGATCGTTATCAATAAAAAGTGTATACAGGGTGGAAATAAATATATATATATATACCATCCTAGAGATCATCGATATCGAGATAATTACGGAGAAATTTGGATTTTACGTTAATATCGAAGATTGTAATTGTGTGAAATTGTAAAAAAAAAAAAGGATTGCACATATGGAGCAAAATTAAAGAGGAAGAGGAGATATGATACGATTATTTAATTAATTAATTAATTAACATCCGTTTTTTTATCTAGACGAATGCATCTCTTCGTCGAATTATTTCAATATCGTTTTAAACTACTTTAAACAGTTCTTACAGCAGAGAAAATGTCATTAACAGAGAGGAGGATTCAAACTCGGAAAGACAATTTCCTGGTGTCTCATGGTCCACCATTTCCTCTGACCAAAGTTGTTCGTCTATTCTATCTCGAGAAGAATCTATGCCCTTTGAATCATCATATCTCTCTTACAGCAGCTTTGTATTCGTTCAATTGCTATTAATATCCCGGATTTTTTTTACATCGAAAGCATATTTGACAATAATATAATAATATAATAATATAATTTTTATTCAATTCGAAGGAAGAAATATTTATTTTTAATAATTTATGCGTTATATCATCCAAATTACTGTTAATATGATTAACAGTTAGGAGAGTTAGTTCGTGGCAAAGAAAGAAATGGCGTATTATTCGAAGCCATTCGTTCTCTTGGCGGCAAGAAGAAAAGCTATCGGCAAATGTAATGCATTATGTATGAGTGTGTGTGATATTCGAGTAAAGCGGCCCTTGAAAATGTAACCTACTTAAGGATCGCTATAACCGAGCATAATTTACGACCGATTTTTTTTATATACTTTGGTATATATATATACTTTTCATAAAAGATATAATTTTTGACAGTTTTTCGAAAATGGAATAATATATTTTTTTTTAAACGTGCATATTAAATATTGATTCTATATTTGAATATAGAATAATAATTCTATATTTGATTATATTTGAATGATCGCAAAATATCGAAAATAAAGATGATGAAACGAGGAGACGTGGCAACAGGTAAAAGAAAAATTGCAAAAAAACTTGAAATTAATTTGAAACGTGGATTAGAATTCTAGAAAAATTAAATAATTAAATAACGCGAGAAATCGAGTTTCGATTCGATCAATTTTCGGCAAAATTTGAATTTTTATTAGCATTGTTCAATTGTAAATAATTCTTCTTAAGGTATCTTCTTAAGATGTGAAATTAGCTGATCGCACGATTTTCCAAAATCATGTGAACAAATTGAAGGAGGCGTTGAATTTTGTTATCTCCGTGGAACAAATGTTATAACCTATAGCTTGCTGATGAAAGAAGAAATGTATGAGAATGTTAAATTAACGGTATAAAAAATTAATATAATGATAAATGCAGTTAACTAATCATCTAAGGAGGAATTATCCGTTTGATGTAACATTTTCATGACGCGTGCATTACTTTTCAAAAGTTACACCACATCGTACAAGAGAAGGATATTAAAGAGAGAACATATTCCTCATGTTACATTACCTTATCACAAATGCATTTCTAGATTTTACAACCATTGAACAGGTAAGCTGCTCGGTATCTTTTCAACTTATTTGTTCCTTCTCTTTGTACAACAGCTTAATGATTTTCCGTGTTCAAGACTTCTTTTCGCTTTTCAATCGAGAACGCGAATCATCCTAACCTTTTAAAAAGAGAAATTTTAATTTGAACATTATTCTATTTTTTTCTTCTGCTTTTCTCTTCGAAAACATTAACATTAATTATTTCAAATTAATTAGTTAGTTAATTATTTCAAATTAATTAGTTAATAATTGTATGTTTTTTTTAGGATATTTTTTTAGGATATGGAAACGGTGAAGGAATACCTAGGATATATCAATCCTCATTGGATAGCTGTGGTGGTAACAGGAATGTACACCCATCTTCGACAAATCTGTATAATCGGTTTATGTTTCGACGAAGACAATAATGGTCCTCCATTCGATCCGTCTTACGCGTCGGTTCTCTTCACATTTTCCGTGCTGTGTCTTCTCGCGGAGTACAGACTTTGGCCTAGAACTCTGAAAGAGCCACCGATTCAACTTCTCTATATTTACGAAGTAAATTATTTCGTTAACGAAATAATAAAACAAAATCTGATCGTTCGAATTATCGACAAAAACTTCGATATTGTATTCCTTTTGAAATGTAACAGATGTTGGTAGCGGCATTGACCACAAATCTAGCCACGCGAGCTATTTGGGTACCATTTATGCACGTTATTTATTGTTTAACTCAAGAGTCCAGTAAATGTGTGAGTTTGTTTGAACGCAAAACAATGTTTTTTTATTCGCCGATATTTGTATACATTTGTGTACGAAACTTAGATGACTAAACTAAGCGGGCTTGTCACAATTTCCTTCGCAATTTTCTTTTTTTACAAATCTTAAAAAATTAATTTTTCAGTTGATATGGTTAAATGCGATTTTGGGATTGGGTCGTTACTCATTTCTGTGTGATATTGCATATTACATGGCGAAAGACTGCGCCGCGACACACATGGCTTTTTGCATGTCCCTTTTGTCATTCGTATGGATGTTGGATGCCACCGAGTCTCTGGATGCCATTTTGGACACTTGGGCCAAGTAGTGAACCAGTAATGTTTAGTTTTATGAGACAATTATGTCATAGAGTGATATAGACATGACATTTTAATGTAATTCGATATATATATATATATATATTTTATATATATATATATATAAAATAATAATTTATATATTATTTTACGAAAAAAAAATGATTGGTTCGTAAGTATGGTAAAAATGTTAGGTACGTATTATAATAATTGGAATAAACGATCCTAATAATCGTAATGTTTTATTTAGGGAGAAAAGTTATGGATTATGGGGTTTTTGTAAATGTAAAAGAAAAAAGATCAGTTTTGCAAATCCAGAAGTGACAGATTGGTTCGTATACAAATTCATATGCAGTACAGATCCTCTGAACGAAGAGAAACAACCGGAGATATAATTTATTTAACTTCTGTGTTTGTCTACTGTATATTATTTTCTACATTTATAGATGTACACGTATATATTTTTAATAAAATCCATTTTTTTATATGCCTCAATTTTTAACAACTTTTTTTTTTTTCTTTGCTTGATTAAACGTTCATTGTAATTTATATCTGAAATCTAAGAAAAGCTTCTATTTTATTTTTTCGATTATCGAATCATCAACAATCGATAAGATAATTCATATCCATATTTACGTCTCGTAAATTAATTAACGTTGAATATTCTGTAACGAACGGATTTTTTGATAATTTGATAAAATAATTAATTTTTAAAGAAGAATATTGGAAAGGAATGGCAAAGTTGATTCACACCTTTTGGGCATTCCTTTTAAACGTTTTCGGACTTCAGATCTTCGGAACATGTTTCGCCAACGCCATGGAAGACGAAGACTGCGAATCGCTCATTTTAGGATCACCATTTAGCTCGATCCTCTTCACTATCGGTGTATATATTATTATTGCTAATTCTACATTGTTTCCACCGTATTTACACGAGCCAAAATTAGTTTTTCTAGCGTTGTACGAGGTTATAATCATCGATCAATTTTTCTCATTCATCATTCGATAAAAATCCTTTTCAATTATTCATTTTATTCCTTTATTTTTAGTTTCTAGCCACCGCATTTATCTTGGAATTTGCGTTGGCTTGTATTTGGACACCGATCGATGTGCTTTTAACCAAGACACTGCCGTTCAATATATCCTACGTAATATCGTGTCCATTTTATGCCATTTAAAAATTATATTTATAATTATTTTTTTTCATTAAATAAGTACGATAAATATGATCTTTTATGAAACACACATGATTTGATTTTATAAAAATAGATGTTTCGACAATTTGGTTTGGAAGAAGCAGCGATTTCGTTTGCAACGAATAAATGTTTGACGATGATCATGACTTATACCGCAGCAATCGTGTTTCTCTTGCTTACGCTTCATATCACGGATTCTGTCGATTACACTTTACTTAGGTAACTTATAAAACAGATAATAACATATATATTAACATTCCATTAATTGGTTATTTTCATAAAAATTCTCCAAAATATTATATTAATTTATTACTTTTCTTTTTTTTTTTTCTTTTTTTCTTTACAGAGATTTTGGAATATCCCTTTTCGCGACTCATCTAATGGGAAACTTGAGAGCGAGATTGCAACAAGAGTTTCCATTCTTGAACAAAGGAACCGAAGTTTGTCGTTGCAAAGTTCGTAGAAGAAAACGTAGTAAAAGTAATAGATAATTAACATTTAATCTTACGTAGAAGTTAAGAGAAGGAAACTGTACTGTATGTTTTTATAGAATTACAAATGTAGACTAATCTGTAAATTAAACATTTGCATAATTTGGAACCAATTTTTAACTATTTTCGGGTAAGTCGTTTTAATTTTTCACTTATCTTTCGTATTTCCATTACAAATTTTCTTTAACACTCTGAAAAAAAACTAAAAAAAAAAAAAAAAAACTAAAAAACATTTATCCATTTATATCTGAAGGGATGTAATTTAAAACACGAGGATGGTTTTTTATTTTTATGAAAAAGAAGGCATTTATTTCGTTCGAACTGAAATGCAAAGTACAAATGGTATAGATAATATAGTGGTAATAATGTAATAATTAATCGTTAATAAATATTCAATTCAATTAATAATACAGTGTGTTACCAGTATACTGTGGAATATTATATATACGGTAATTGTACTACACGGGATGTGTTCAGTGGCAGCGTTACGATCATTCTTTTTTCTTTTTTTTGTCATCGAAGTCTAATATATTACAATGCTTTTTTGTCTCCATTCTCCCTTGACCGACTGGCTGATAACGATTGTCGGCTCCTCGATTACATCAACGCGATTCTTCCTCGATACACCTCTCTTCTTTTCTCTCCTCTTCTTCGCGCCACACTGACTTTCTCGTATTTCGTATATTAAATTATCGATTTTTCCGGAGGGGGAAGGGGAGAAGGGAGATAAGGGGAGGGGAGGGGGAAGGGAGCGCTGATCAAAAGACAATGCGAAAAAGTGCTCGCTTCGAAATTCGAAAATATTCAGAAATTGGATGGCAGTGCACTCTTAATTAATTATTTGATCGTAAAATTATCTCAAAGGAAAATACGCCTTGAAATATCGTTACATTAATACGGAATAAAGTATATATATANAGCTAATTAAATCCCGATAAAGATGGGTGACTAGAATCGTTTCGAAAAATGGCAACTTTTTTTTTCTTTTTTTTCTCAAATATAAATCCAAAAGGGTGCGCATCATCCAATCGAATATTTCCGATCGATCCGATCGAGCAACGTTTCGTTTTTTTTCGATGTGACAATACGCTCGCTCGCACATCGGAAATACGCAAATTCATGTTCGTTGGGAAAAGCGTGTGTGTTCGGATCTTGAGAAACAACGAACAAAGAGAGAGAGTTAGAAAGAATTCCGAAATTTCGGGATAAGAAATATATTTTTTTTTTCTTTTTTCCTTTTTTTTTTCCCCCCCTTTTTTTTTTTTCTCGTCGCTGAGGCATTCGATCAAGCGGACTAGTGCCGTTGTAAAATTAACTTTAGCATCGCTCCGTTTTCAATACGTAATTATTTATCGGGATCGAGGCACGAGAAATCCGGCCTCTGTTCTTCTTTGTGCACGATTAGGCAGTGCTTGGAAAAAGTTGTACAGATATGTAAAATGAGCTCGCGTGGCCGTCATTTCCCTCTCGTTTCGAAACGAGGCTTCGTCGTTCCTTTCCCGTTTCTTTCGTCTCGCTTCCTCTCGTTTTCGGATTTACATTTCGCCTCGATTGGAAAACTGGATCGCCTCGATCGATCGTTCGATCGTCGCTCTTCAATCTCGACGACGACAATGACATCTCCAATCATGAGCATGAGCACGCTTTTTTTTTTTCGATTTATTTATTTATTTATTTATTTATTCGCCATTTTTTTCGTCTTTCGCGTTTACGCTCCTTGATTCCTTTCGAAAAATCCTTCTGTTTCGCGCGTGCCAACTCGTTCTCGATAAAAAAGTTGAGCCGTGTGTGCGATTGAAATGGTATCTTAACTTATAATATCGATCGACACTGATCGTTAACTCGTTAAAGCAATTCGACGGTTGTAAAGTTTATCGTTCTCGAGATGCGATTATTTCCGTGTGGGTACAAATGATATTGCTAAAAAAAAAAAAAAGAAGTCGATCCTGAGAACTCTTCTTTCTTTTCTTCCCTTTTCTTCTCTTCTTCTTCTTCTTCTTTTTCTTTTTCTTTTTTTTTTTTTTGTACAAAATGTATGATTCGATGAAATTAAATTCGTTTCGCGTGATAAATTATTATCTTCTACGATTGATATATAGATTATGCACATGCACATCGTGAAGTTAACACATCGATGATTGATACGGGTGTAATTGTTACAAGTGAGTAAATAAAGAAACGCTAAAAATATTCACAATTATTCTACAAAATTTACAGGTATCTGATTCCCTAGACTCATTTACTCGTCGCACATTTCAACATTTACACGTACATCGAGAAATCAATCGTTGAGAAATCTATTATTTTTGTTTAGAAACGAAGAATGAAAATGCAAAGAGAAAATTTATAAATATTCGTGATAAAGCATTCTTATTTGATCGAGATCGAGAGGATTATGTATATATCGAATGATCAATCGTTAAACGAAAACTGTATAAGCTTCTACATCTTAAAAATAATAAACCGAGTTTCGATTTCATCTACGAGAATCTTGAATGGAATGAGAATAAAAAAAGGAACGTTTTCCTTTTATTTCTTTCTATCGATTTTTTCGTATTAATAATTACCATCGTTAATAATAATTTTGTCGTCTCCTTGCCACGTTCACAAAAAGACCAAGCACGCTTGCTCCAAGTGGCAAATAAAATCGTAAATACTTATTTTTAAAGTAATGTAAGATCATCCTCATTACAAATCTTAATACTTTGGATTCGATGGTTGGAATGGTCCTAACGATATTCCCATTTTATGCACCTTACGAACTGCTTCCGTTTTAACGTTATATAAAAATATATATCAACAAATACGCAATATCGAGTAAAGTTTCAGCAAAGTTTAATAAAAAATCTTACGATAAGACAAGATTTTCATCAGATCTCATAATTCTCGTCGAATATCTTATTTATTTATTATTATGTGTATGAAAATGTTTCTCGTACGCTCGTCGTAATCCGTCAATTAATCGGGGATGCTCAATCTTTTGTACGTACAAATTTTTTTTTTTTAATCCATTTCGAAACACATACAATGGGATATATGAAAATTTTATATAAGAATGAAAATATTGCTTCCTGTACTTAATTATTTCGTTGATCCGCGGTTCGTAAGGTAATTGAACTGCGCCCTTGTTTGGTATCGTGCCAAAGTTTTTCGAGGTGCCTAGGTCAAGCGAATGGAAAGATTTCTCACACTTTTGCCAAATCGCATTTGAAATTCGCGCATTCCGGCAAATCTCGGAAGTTGACTTTACTATGACATTTAGATCTCGTTAAATTATACATTACATCATACACACCGTTCTCTTAAATTTAACGAAGAGTTTTTTTTAAAGAAAAGGATCATTTTCTTTTCTAATTTTTTTTTTCTTTTTCCTTTTTTAGAGCCACGTTTCTACTGCCTGATGTTGATAAATGAACGTACGCACGTAACGTGAAAACACGATACATTATATTCTCCTGATATATTATTCTAATGCAATATTAATTCGATGATTACTTCGATTCGAGAATTTACATCGAAAAATTAACATTTCCTTTTTTTTTTTTTTCTCTCTCTCTCCAGATTTGTCTTATCAATTGAGGGAAAGAGTAAGGCTAAGATTAAGGTACGTATCTTAAGAGGACTCGTCCGTATCTATCCGTGCAAAGCCAATCTCCAAGAAATCGAGGTTTGCTTCGATCACGCGATTTGATCCTTTCGAACAATCGCGTGAAACAACATTTCCGTTCATTTTTATTTTCTTCTTCTTCTTCCTTTTTTGCCACTGCACACACACGTGCGCGCCCTTGCGCGCTACTCAACTCATTATAGGTTATTACTCAACGATAAACGTTCGTCCTCCTATATAAACGCCGTATCCGTCGAAATACTGTCTCTGCTTAGAAACTACTTGGCGGGGTGAAATCGACGATATAGGAGAATGGCCGGAGAAACGAAATACGTGTATGTGTGTGTGTATGTGTGTACGTGTATGTGATATACGAAGGAGGACGGTGAGATTAATGAAACCACGGTAAATTCAACTTATCATGAATCGAACCTATCAACATCGAGAAACGTTTTTTTCACGGGAGGATAGCAATATAGATAACGAATTCTGTACAATACGATTTTCAGAAGGAAGAAAATACGAACACGGTCGTATATATTTATATATATATAGTTATATCAGAAACGAATATCGTACTCTTGAATGAATCTTCGTTCGACGCTGAGGAAAGATCGAATTTTTATATATATATATTTATATAGGATATAGGCTTGTTCGACGCGACGACAAGTGTTTCTCGATTTCGATGTGTTTCTCGATGTTCTCGCGGCTCGCAGGAGGAACAGATATTTATATTTATATATATATATATGTATATGTATATGTATAGGTAGGTCGACTAAAAGGGGGGAAACGTAAACATATCACAAATATATCGGCGGGAAACGATACGATAAGACGACGAATGTTGTTGTGAGGAGAATTATATAGAGATGCTCGATACCGATCGCGGCGCATTACGAGCGGCACCGGGACACCGAAATACACGACGTTACTTACAATATTCGTACAAGTGCTTAAACGCTACGCCCGGATCCCGCTCGGATCCGACGGGGCATCGCCTAACCGATAAATTGACTATTAATATTTCCGTAGAGAATTTTACAAATCAGTCGAGACGCGTACACGCGCGTGCAAGAGATGGGAATGGGTGGTGGGTTCGACCCCGTTTTGCCTCTACCCCACGAGCGCCACACGATTGACGTTCGTCGAAAATCGAATGGGGGATCGAAAACATTTGTTTGATCGAGGTCGTGACGTAAGTAACCACATCTCCTCTCGTCTCCTTTTCTCTTTCGTAGGCTCGCCGATTTTCTCTCTCTCTCTCTCTCTGTTTTCTTTTCATTTTCTTCTTCTTTTCTGTTCTCTCTTTTATTGAATCGGAACTTATCCCCTGACCGATTCGATCATCGATAGAAAATAAATATTGAATCGCTATGTCGAGATTTTGAATCGTGAGCTTTTTCTCGACAACCGGTCATATCTCGCGCTCTTTCTCTGTTTTTGGTATTTTTTTTTCTTTTTTTTTCTTCTTTTTTCACTTTTTAATCCTCTCCTCTTTACGTGTCTTTCGTTTGTATTCAGATTCTTTTATATATAATATATATAAGTATATATATATATATACTTATATATATATATATATATATATTTATATTTATATTTATTATTCGTTATATAATATTAATAATTACATATACGCGCGGTAACTCTCGGAATTTGTTATTTCGCGGACTTTCGTGCGCCCCACACGTTGCTGTACCCTTTGTCATCCGCCGTGCGCTTTCTTTTTCTCTCTCTTTCTCTCTCTCTTTCTCTCTCTCTCTTTCTATATATATATATTTATATTTATATTTATTCATTCATTTATTTATAAATCCATATTTATAATATATATATTTATATCGTAATGTCAATAATAATACTATCAATAATTAATGAGGATGCCGGTGACGGTGACGA